ATGCCATAGGAGTAAAAATGACACGAATTCCTTGTTCTATCAGTGGCAGTGGCAGGTAAGCTATAATCATTTTTTTTTAGGTTAAAAGACATTGGTCTCAGGTCTATGTAAATTGTGTCAAGCGTTGCATAGGGTCTCCAAATGATGTTCTGGATATTTCTAAGTAGATTTGTATATGTTACATCCAGACCTCTTTAAAGACGAACAGATAATGTCCAAGATTCTGATCCATACAGTAAGACTGGCTCAATCAATGTTCGAAGGGTTTGAACTTTTAAGGAGGATGGAAGGTGAGAGCGCCAAGTCTTGTGAAGTTTGTACACGCATCCCATGCAAGAAATCTTTTTGAGAATATATTGTATGAGATTTCAAGGTATTTGAAGTCCTCAACTCTTTGATGGATGCATTACTGAACGACCAACTCGAATGGTTCAAGGGAGGTTGTGATTTATTATATCTTACATTGAAATAGAGGCCTACCTCGTTCACTGCTTGCTCGAGCGGTTACAGCAAAGAATTCTGCATGCTTGATGCTTAGGCAATATCAAGGTCAGTCAGATATTGTGGATGGTGCCAACGAATCTGGTAGAGATTTTAAAAGAATTCTTTTTTTCCTCCATGTTGTCGAGAGAAATATGTAGAGCATCGTCCAGAACAATTTACTTGGAAGGCTGCTACAGCACACTATTCCTATTACCTTCAATATATACATTGAACTATGTTAAAAATCTATCTATCTATCTATCTATCTATCTATCTATCTATCTATCTATCTCATCTATCTATTTTAGCTTATTTATTATCTATCTATCTATCTATCTATTTTAGCTTATTCTATCTATCTATCTATCTATCTATCTATTTTAGCTTATTCGTTATCTATCTATCTATCTATCTATTTTAGCTTATTCGTTATCTATCTATCTATCTATCTATCTATCTATCTATCTATTTTAGCTTATTCATTATCTATTTATCTATCTATCTATCTATCTATCTATCTATCTATCTATCTATTTTAGCTTATTCATTATCTATCTATCTATCTATCTATCTATCTATTTTAGCTTATTCGTTATCTATCTATCTATCTATTTTAGTTTATTCATTATCTATCTATCTATCTATCTATCTATCTATCTATCTATCTTAGTTAATGTACATTTGTGTAAGCTACATAAATTAGTTGAAACCCTTGTTTTCGATGGGATACATCTTGATTTCAACTGCTGTTGTGTTGTTTTCATGACTTTGAAAATATCTCATTTTAGTGAATATAACAATGCGTAACCTAGACTAGCTGAAAATAATTATTTTCGAATGAAATCAGGTAGATCTATACCATATATATATATATATATATATATATATATATATATATATATATATATATATATATATTATTTATGTGTGTGTGTTAGAAAAACACTCACAATAAATGAAGTAAAAGAAAGAAGTGAAGAAAAAACGAAAACAAATGTAACAAATAACTGAAGTAAAAACCTAAAAACAAAATGTGATAAACGAAAAAGATAAGAAGAAAAATATCAAGGCAAAAGTCAAGAAGATCTTGCAGAAAAGAAATAAGATAGATGAGAATAGGCAATCAAAAACTGATGTCAAATTTAACGAAAAGGAATATCTTTTTTTTAATGAAATATGGCAATAACACTTGATACTGACACATATAGAGATAGAGTAAAAAAAAGATACATCTTGAGTTATGGTTATACATCCATCACTTTCTTTCTCTCTGTCTTCAGATATGACAGACGGTATATTGATGCGTGTATAAGATATATACGTATAATGAAATAATAATAATACGTTTAAAATAGATGATATATTAATATTTTAAACCGTTCTATACATAACCACACTTATACAATATATGACTGTTTGTATGTGAATAGTAGCCTTCCAAAATCTCTAGGACATAGCCAACAAATTATTGTCTACCATACTGACAACAGTCAGTTCATCTTAATAAATACGTTTAGTTTTTAATGATGGTTGAAAATTACTCGAATAGAAACAGAATAAAAGCAATAATCTTTAACATTTTATCCACAATATTGATTTAAACCAAGGGTCGGCAAACTACGGCCCGTGGGCCGGATCCGGCCCGCGAAGGCATTTTGACCGGCCCGGGAGACTGATTACTAATGACTATTTTTAACATGAGAGACGAGGCTTTTGAATTAGACTATCTGCCAGTTATCTTTCATGAGACTTATTTTACCAAGTTGTGTTGCCTACGTTTAATGTCAAATAATGGGTACACATTTGTTATGACCCTTGGCTACATTAAAAGATAACAAAGGCGAAAGAAACGATAAAGTGAAAGATGCCAGGGAGGGACTGACATGCGAGGTAGCAGAAATCTAAAGACAGTTAAACATACGCGCATTATACATACAGGCCTCATGAATGTGTGGATGATACCGCATGTGTACGTACGTAAGTGTATATGTTTGCAACTATTTGTACTCGTATGTATGAGTATATGTGCTTCGTTTTTGTTTGATGTGCGTGTGTGTGTGGTTCGTTAGTGGAACAATTTTCAATAACAGTTTCAAACCTACACCTTATAATTTCACTTCGGTTGATTTTTTTCACTTTGAAGTATTTTTGACGTTCCTTGAGGAAAAGTAATTTTGTTAGGAGTTTTTTAATTTTAGATTTTCTTTTGTTTTTCTGATTTCTCAATGTTTATTTTCATTATGGTTTTAAATATTTAGGTTGACAGGGGGTCTGCATATGTAATTTTCCTTAATTTTTCATTAATGGCCTTCGTCCGGCCCGCGACCCGTCATTATAACACGATCCGTCCCGCAGGGTCATATGAGTTGCCGACCTCTGATTTAGACTTTTAATAATATTCGAAAATTATAAAAGCATAATAACCGATTAAACAGGCAGATATTGTCGGTTGAATTTAACAAAACGTGTTTAGATAAATTCATTTTTTTTTTCTGAGGTAGTTTTGGTATTACTGGTTTGAAAGGAGAGTCATGACTGTGGTGTCAGCTGCTTTCTACCTCACTGTGTCTGCAACAGAGAGCGAAAATCATTATGAATGCAAACACATTATTCAGGAGCTTCAGTAGTGGTCAATACCTGAGTAGTCCCAAATCCTTCATAATGAAACTAGGTTTCTATTTCATGATAGAATTTGAAGAATAGAGTTTGGAGAAGACAAAGGTCTATACTTTGGTTTCATGTCCAAAAGCATCTCAGCTTTGCATTTTCTAGCAATGTTTCGATATTGAAATGTTAGGCGAACTCATGGATTTTGTGTTACTGAAGTCGCACCCGAAGATTGATGCATACATAGTACTGATGGTAGCAGGATGTTAGAAACAGGAAGGACTTCATAAATCTTTAGTGCCTTTTCTAAGTTATTTATAAATCCAGACATTATTGTGAAGTGTTTCAAAGGCTTGGTTTTATCTTAACAAGCTTAGCGCAACGGTCATGACACACCCGGAATAATAATGATTAAAACTTTCTTCAACATTTTCATGCCGATAAATAGGGACGTTGTGTAGTACATTTAAAGAAGTAATAGAGGATGACTGTTTTCTTTAAAGTGTTCTCTAAGCAAAATATTTGGGAAATATTTGGCAATGTTTGTTTTACATGTTGAATAGGTGAGTAGGTGACTAAACGCAATTCGT